TGGGTGCTGGCTGGTGCATCTCTGCGGCCGCGCTAGCCCTTGGCGCGACCGACGCGAAGGCGGTGGCGATGACCGCTCGGCACGTCCCAGCGGGCACTTCAGTGCGAGTCGGCGACTTGGACAGGCGCGGTATCATGGTAACGTCGACAACGGTAGACGCGATGATGATGGTAGCGATGGTGGTGACGATGCTGACAGCGACGACGGGGCAGCCAGTGACGCCACTGATGCTGATCACGCCGACGACGATGACGGCGCTTTCGCGTCGGTGATGGAGGTTTCCGATAGAATTCGAAATGCGCGCGCGGCAGACGCGTCGCATGGTATTACACGGACCGTGCCACCACAGCACGCGCGCAAGGGCGTTCGAACGATTTCGACACGCGCGCGCGCGAAGCCCATTTGGTAACATTTTATGAGCACGTCGAAAACTTATGGTTTCTTCAAGTGTTCGCCAGAGCGCGCGCACGCTTTTGTTGAAACCCCGTGTTGCGAAACCATGTTTCCTTGGCGAATGACCCCATATGCAGTTGTGAGTAACGCGTTGTGGGTGCCACTTTCGGTGGAGCTCCCTGCGGGGCCACGAACCACGGGAGGGACGTGCCGTAAGTGGTGGGGGACACGCGTGCGGGCAGTGCCGGTGGGGCTCTCGGTGGGGCTCCCTATGGGCCACGAAACGCTGTCGTGGGTGTGGCTGACGCATGCGGGCGGTGCCCCTCGCTGGACTTCCCGATGGGGCCACGAAGAGCTGTATTGGTCGGGGGAAGCGCATGCGGGCGCTGCCGCTGGGGGTCCTTTTGTGGATCTCCCTACGGGGCCACGACGCGCTGCATTGGGTGGTGGCCGACGCATGCGGGCGGTGCCACTGGGGCCTTCGGTGGAGCCCCATGGGCCCACGAAGCGCTGCACTTGGTGGGGGGTCGCATGCGGGCGGGCCCCCGGAGGTCCTTACGGGGCCACGAAGCGTTATACCGGGTGGGGGGGACGCACGCGGGCGGTGCCGTTGAGGCCTTACGTTGAGCTCCCAACCAATGGGGCCACGAAGCGCTGTAGTGGGTGTGGCGGACGCATGTGGCCACCCCCTCTGGGGCCTTGGGTGAAAACCCCCATGGGGCCACGAAGCGCTGCAGTGGGTGTGGCGGACGCACGTGGTCACCCCCAGTGGGGCATTTGGTGGCGCTCCCATTGGGACACGAAGCGCTTTACTGAGTGTGGCGGACGCATGTGGCCACCCCCACTGGGGCCTTACGTGGAGCTCCCCATTGGGGCCACGAAGCGCTATACTGGGTGTGGCGGACGCACGTGGCCACCCCCAGTGCGGTTTTCGGTGGAGTTCCCTATGGGGCCATGAAACGTGTGAAGGGTGATGATAGTGGCGATGATGCTGATGATGGGGAGAGGGAGGGGGGCAGCGGGAGGAAGGAGACCCGGGGCGATGTCTCTTCAAAACGAGGACCCAACACCACAGGATGGTTGGAAAAAAAACATGTTTTTGGGACACTCGATTTCAAAATCCTTCCGACACCGACGATTTTTGAAGGATTCCGGCATGCGCGCGCGACGACTCGCGCGTGTGCACTTCGTTTCTTTTTTTTGCCAGGGATTATTGTACACCTATGAGTTTGATGCACGAGTGTGCGCGCATTGTATTTTTTCCTAGTGTACCGAGGGGGGGCGATACCGGCTTGGCTGGGATAGAATGAATTGCAACACCCTACGTGTCTTGCATAGGTTCCCGGTGAGTCTTTAAGTCTGGGGGGGAGGGTGGTAGAACTTGTTGATTTCTAGAAAGGAAAATGTACGTGGTCCAATATATGTGGTGTAAGCTAGTTCGAGCAATGCATTTGGTGCAATTGTTGCAATATATGTGGTGTCAGCTATCTGATGCAATCCCTATGTTGCAATATATGTGGTGCAATTCACTTTGACTGTCTTGTAGCTGTCCTCTCCACTGCTCGTGCAAACATCCCACCCTCCCACACGCAACTTGGTCGCAAAACCTCTTAAGACCGTGACGCCAGGTACCAAGTGGCATTTGGCAACGACACCGACGCCGACGACGACAGCGACAATGACGACGACGACACCGACGGCGATTCCGACGACTTCGACGACGACGACGACGACGACACCGACGACGACGACGACGCCGACGACGATGACGACGACGATTGCGACGCCGACGACGACGACGACGAAGCCGACGACGACGACGACGGCTCCGACGACGACGACGAAGACGACGACGACGACGTCGCCAACGAAGGCGACGACAACGACGAGGGAGGAGGGAGGACGACGACGGCGACAACGATTACAACGACGAGGGAGGAGGGAGGACGACGACGACGACGAAGAAGGAGGGAGGACGGCGACGCCGACGACGACAGCCATGTTGGGTCTTAGACGGCCCAAGTCAGCCCCAAGAGCGTCTCAGAGGGCCCCAAGACGGGCCAATATGGCCCCAAGAGCGCCCAAGCTACCGCCACGACGGCGTCAGGGAGGTCCACGAGGACCCCAAGACGCCCCGACAGCGCTCAAAGAGGGCCCAGGATGGCCTCAAGACGGTCAAAAAGGCCCTCAAGACGCTCCACGAGGCCTTCAACGGGACGCCCCGGACGCCTCTTTTGGAAAACGCTGATTTTTAGCCAATCGGCTCCCTTGGTTTTCACAATGTTTACAGCGGCTCAACAGGCCCCCAGGATCGCTCCAAGACGGCGCAAGAAGCCCCCAAGACGGCCCAAGAGTGCTCCAAGACGGCCTAAGAGGGCTCCAAGACGGCCCAAGAGAGGCCCCTGAGGGCCCTAACAGGTTCACAAGAGGGCCCCAAGAGGGCCACAAGAGGTCCCCTAGAAGGCCCCAGAGGGCCCCGAGAGGGCCTCAAGATGGCCGAAGCCCTTCAAAACTGCCCAAGAGTTCCCCAGGACGAGCCAAGAGGGCCCCACGACTCAACGAAACCCCAAAAGGTCTCCAAGAAGGCCTGGAAAGGCCACATTCACTAATGTTCGCAATGTTGGTGGTTAGCTTTTTGTATGACATGTCATCGCCTTAACACCAAGAGGGCTCCCAAGACATTGCGCAAGCGAACTCGCGCTATCACAGAATACGAGCGCTTTCCGCCCCCGTGCCAGCCCAGGTGACGAAAAGAGCGAGGTACGAGTGATGACGTTGAGTTGGGGCGAAATCCTTTAGGGAGGGATCCCTGGGAGGGTGGAGGAGCGGGGACACATGTCTAATCGCTCTCCCCCCTCCCCCCAAGAGGCCCCCAAGACGGCCCAAGAGAGGTCCAAGACGGCTCCACGACGGCCCAGGACGGCCCAAGAGAGGTCCAAGACGGCTCCAAGACGGCCCCTGAGTGCCATCGTGCCAGCCGAGCATTCTGGGTTGTACATGTTCAAGAAGGCACGGGGGAGCCGCGATGAAGATGATAGTGTTGTTGTCATTGATGGTGATGTTGATGATGTTGATGATGATGATGATGATGATGATGATGCTGCTGCTGCTGCTGATGATGATGATGATGACGATGCTGATGCTAATGATGATGATGATAACGATGATGTTGATGATGATGATGAGGAGGAGCAGGAGGAGGAGGAGGAGGAGAAGAACAAGAGGAGGAGGAGGAGGAGGAGGAGGAGGAGAAGGAGGAAGAGAGAGGCCATCACAAGTGACATCTTCTCGTCTTCACTATTTGAGGAGCTTTCATGGAGCTCGTTTAGGCCGTTTTGGGGCTGTCTTAGCCTCCTCCTGTGAGGCAGTCTTGGGGGCCCTTTGGGGCCCTCCTGGGCCGTCTTGGTGCTCTCTTTTATACAGTCTTTGGGCTTTCTTGGGCCGTCTTGAGGCCCTCTTGGTCGTGTGGTGAGTGTGTGTGTGTGTGTATGTATGTGTGTATGTGTGTATGTGGTGTGTGTGGGAGCCGTCGTGGGGTCATCTTGGCGCCGTCTTGGGCCGTCGAATAGCCTTCCGGCCTTCCTGGGTCCCACAGGAGGCCATCTGGAGCCATCTTGGGGCCGCCTTGGATGCCTCTTGGGCCATCGTAGTGCTCTTTTGCGCCATTCTTGGGCCTTCTAGGAGCCATCATGGTGGCTTCTGCGCCCGTCTTTAGCTGACGAAAGGCCGAAAAGGCGAGAACGCGAAAACCAGGCAAAACCCAAGGGCAAGCAATGCTTTCAACTTCTTCGGGCCCTGTTGGAGGTCCTCTTATGGCCCTGATGGGCCCTTCTTGGAGGTGTCTCAGCCCGTCTCGAGACCAGATTCGGCGCCTAGGCGCCATCTTGGGCCGTTTGGGAGGCTTCTTGGGCTCTCTTGGTGTCCTTGGCTGCCTGCATGGGCCGTCTTGGAAGCTCAGGCTGCGGACCCATCGTTTTGATAAGGGATTGTGGCTTCGGGAGCGCGGACCCATAGTTCTTGAAAAAGGCATCGTGGCCTCTGGGGGGTGGGTTCACGCAGCACGCCGCTAGCAGAGGGGGGGACCCCTTATTGGAATGTCGGAGCCCTACCAGACAGCACTTGGCATTCTATCACGCCTCAACGTGCCAGGGGGCACGGTGGCGGATCTTGCTAGCGTTGCGGTCTGCAAGTGAGAATCCGCTCGTGATGGCAACCGGCGAGGGAAGCGGACGGGAGGATCAGGAGGAGGAGGAGGAGAAGGAGGAGGAGGAGGAGAAGGAGGAGCTTGGTACGGGCTTACGGTGCTGACCGCTTCCAGCGATGGAGCTGCGAGGGCAAACGGGGTGGCGTGGGCAGAATTGAAGGGCGTCTTCACTTTGTCGAGGAGTCGAGGAGGGGGAGTAGAAAGGGGAGGGGGCGAAGAGGAAAGATGAGGAAATAGGTCGGACGGAGGAGGAGGGACGAGGAGGAGGAGACGGGTGGCCCGTGCAAACTCGTTCGAGTGATAGCGCGGTGGCGAGGATATGGCACGTGGTCTCCAGGACACTACCTTGCACGCGTGAGGGCCAGGGGAAAGGAGGATGACGAGGATTCGGCGAAGGAGCGTAGACGGAAGTGGGGTATGAATTGTTTTTGCAGCGCGTTGTCTCCCAGGAAGGCAGTCAGAGCTCTGCCAATTCTCCAGATGGGATTTCTGTTGGGCTTATTGCCCTGTAGGATTCTTCCGTGCATAGTAGATGCCGCCGCTACGCGTGGCGATCTTGCTTGTGGAGTTTCAAGGTGTGGCGGCGGGCAATGTCTGCAAGTAGGTCATGAACGCTCAAGCTTTAGGCTGGCTTGGCGAATCCTGACGCTGCCACGGATTTAGCTGGGCTTGTTTCTTCAGGAGCGCAGGTTGGTTAGCTTCACATCCGCTGAAAGTCTAGCACAGCTTCACTGCGTCCTACTATCCTCCTCGTCCTCCTCCATCCAGGGTAGACCCGCGTGCCAGTTTGGTATTTCCGTGTATCGAACACCTGAGCTTCAGATGGCGCGCTGCTTCGCCAGCGCCGCGCTTCTGTTGCTGCTGGCGCTCCCCGGGCAGGCTGTCACTGTCAGCAAGGATCTTCAGGATTACACAATTGACCACCACCGCCGCTGGAATGACATGTATAGGGGGCTGCTGTTCCGACTATCGCTCTGGTCTTCCCCTTCGCCCTCCTCTGGACGAGGTGGTGTATACTGCGAGGTGCCCTTCGAGGAAGGAAGACAGACCCAAGCACGCAGCGGTTCGTCCGGGGAGATGGACGGAGGAGGATCGGACTGGCGGTCGGAACGGGAGAACACACTGCTGGGGTGCGAAAGTCTATCCACAGCTGGGCCCAGTGGAACTTGCATTCATGGCTGGGGGCCACACTGCCGGGGCCCCAGCGGCGGTTGTGCTGAGCTACCTCTTGGCCGAAGGCGGCGGCGTTCTCAAGTGGGGGGGGGGGCGGCAGGAGGCTCAGCAGGTTTCTGGCCTCCTGGGAAGCTTTCCCAGGCCTTCTGTGCAGGCTGGGGCGACTTCTCGGAAGGTCTGAGGGCTTCGAGAAGCCCCGCGAAGGCCTGCCCCCTTTCTCACTCTTCCCCTTCGGCACGCCGCCCGATCTTTTGGTGTTCGGGTCATGGCTCGGGCCCCTGGCGGCCCTTCGGGATGGTCCGGGCCCCCCCCCCCGCGAACGCTCTCGGCGAGGCGCAGCTGCTGGAAGGCACTCCGAAGGCGGAAGGCCTCCGGGATGCGACGGAAACTCCAGCAAAAACGCCGAGCTTCCGCCCGGTCGGCGCCGTGGTGTCTTTCCTCTGGCCTTCGCTCGTTCGCCTTTTTCGGGCCCTCGTCCGGTCCTCTTGCATCCTGTGGCTGCCCGGGAGTTCGCGCGCCGCCCCTCAAAAAGGGGTGGGCGGGGAGGGCACCGCAACAGAACCAGACCCGCGTCCAAGCCCAAAGCCCGCGTCCAAAACAAAACCCGCGCCCCACACAGACGACCCCTCGGCGCGCCGCCCCTCAAAACGCAAGAGGAGGGCAAGGAGGGCACCGAAGCCGCGGTCGACGAGAGCTCCGAGAGGCCGCCGAAGCCCCTCAGCACCGCGCCGCAGCCGCTGGCGCCGTTCGGCGAGCCCGTCGTCGGGCAGGCCAGGAATTCCGAGGCGCGGACGGGGGAGCCCCTCGCGGGAAGCCGTGGGGCTCTCGTCGTCGTCGCCGTCGTCGTCGTCGCCGTCGCCGTCGTGGTCGTCGTCGTCGTCGTCGTGGTCGTCCTCGTCCTCGTCGTCGTCCTCGTCCTCGTCGACGTCCTCGTCGTCGTCGTCGTCGTCGTCTGGCGATCCTTGTGGTCGTTGTCGGTGTCGTCGTCGAGCGATCGTCGCCCCACCTGCCCGGCAGGGCCCTGGGCGGCTGGTGGCCCTGGCAGGACTCCTCCAGTTCGATTCGACTTGGTTTCGATGGCTTCCGATCCCGAGCTGATTCGACTCCAGACTCCCATTTTGGATTCCGACGAAGGCGTACTGACTGACCTGCCGATTTCCACCGATTCGGCTTCTCCCGATTTGGCTGCCGATTCCCGCCGATCCGATTCGTTTCGAGCGCCGATCCGGCTTATCGATTCGATTCTGGGCTCTCCTGCCTTCGGGGGCCCTAAGGTGCCCCCCAAACTGCCAAGATGGGTCCGCAACGTGATCGTGAGGTGCACGCTTCTTCACCCCCCGTTTGCCGAACACCCGAAAGAGGCCGTGCGGGAGCGCGAGTCACCACCAACCAAACCACCCCAACCCAACCCGAAGGCCCCGATTTGCCCTCCATTTCCAGTGGGGGGGGGTCGGGGAACATTTGGAAAAACACATGGAACCCGTACCCCCCCAACCCGAAATTCTGGCGAAATTCGGGTCTTCGGGTTGGGTTGGGGTGGTTTGGTAGGTAGTCAGCGAGGACGATCGCGCTCTGTGCCTCAAGCGGCGGGGAGCGCAAAATTAGGCTACTTGGCAAGAACGCCCGCGATCCGATTAGGCTCGATGCGGCTCGATGCACGGGCATCGGCCAGGGCCAGCCGCAGCCCTGGGCGCGGCGATCCGGTCATGGACGACTCGCTGGCGCTCCCATCAGTTTCCGATCCGATCCGACGTCGCGGTTCGGTCCAGCTCAGGTCTGCCTGGAGGGGGTTGGCGCAGCATGCGCGAGGAAGTGCAGCGCCACCCACCGAGTAAGACGCCGCCTCCCGAGCAGGTGCCCCCTCCCCTCCCGCGGGAGCTCCTGAGCTGTGTGTGGCGAGGAGGACCTCAAGACTTCCATGCCTGCCCAAGGGCGCGCACCCGGTCATGCTCTCGTCTCCAGCCATGGTTGTTGGGACGGGTTGCATGACTGCGCGCCCGTTCGCTCTGCCTCTGGGCTCCATCGGGCTTGGCATCTCCCCTCCTCAGGCGGGCGACCGGGACAAGGCGCGGACCCCGTCGCTGCTGACGATGAACGTGGACGACCAGCGGGTGCACATGTGGGACTCGGCCCACTCGTACGTCAAGGGCGGCCCGCCTCTCAACAAGAACGGCGACACGTTCGACATCCACCTGAAGTCGCAGATCTGAGGGGCGCGGCCGGCAGGGACCTTCTGCACGCGGCTTGGTGGCGGTGGTGCTGCTCCTCCTGCGTGCTCGCGCTCCTCCTTGGTTAGATCCCGCGCTCGCTCGGTTGTTGGGGGATGAGTGGCCCTCTACATAGATTATGTGGTGCGTTTGCGCACCTCGAGTCTCCCCCTCCCCCTCGCAGGATGGGGAGGAGGAGGAGGGCGACGAGAAAGAGCAGGAGGCGCAGGAGGAGCAACAGACGCCGTGCGCCATTCCTTACGCGGTTCCGCCGAACTATTCTGTGTGCGTTTCTGGTCAATCCGTCCATGCGCTGGCCGTGGAGGTCGGCAACAATATCACCACCTCCATGTTTCCATGTTTGTATATATATATATATATATACGCACACCTATGTATATGTATATGTATATGTATGTACATACAGATGTATGTATGTATATATATATACATACATGTACATATATAGAATTATCCCGGCAAAGCCACCTAGCAGCGATGAGTATAAGCATATCTGGAAGCATTCCCCTTAATATTCAGGTGAGAACCCAGTTGTAGAATTCTGCTGTTCTCGCAGTCGCAGTCGCATTCGCAATGACAGTCGCAGTGGCAACGGCCTTAGGATCCAATGGAGTCCTAAGGATTCCTATGGATTCCTCAGGTATCTTTAGGCATCCTTAGGAATCCATAGGAAACCTTAGGACACCTTAGGAATCCTTAGGAATCCTGATTCCTACGGACTCGCAGGGATTCCTAAGGATTCCTGGGGCATCCTACGGATTCCTACCTGAGCCTGCCTCGGCCTCAGCCTCAGCCTGCCTCAGCCTCAGCCTGCCTCAGCCTCAGCCTCAGCCTGTTCAGCCTCAGCCTGCCTCGGCTTCAGCCTCAGCCTCAGCCTCAGCCTGCCTCAGCCTCAGCCTGCCTCGGCCTCAGCCTCAGCCTCAGCCTCAGCCTCAGCCTCAGCCTGCCTCAGCCTCAGCCTCAGCCTGTCTCAGCCTCAGCCTGCCTCAGCCTCAGTCTCAGCCTGCCTCAGCCGGCCTCAGCCTCAGCCAGCCTCAGCCTCAGCCTCAGCCTGCCTCAGCCTCAGCCTCAGCCTCAGCCTCAGCCTCCTCAGCCTCCTCCTCAGCCTGCCTCAGCCTCAGCCTCAGCCTCAGCCTGCCTCAGCCTCAGCCTCAGCCTCAGCCTGCCTCAGCCTGCCTCGGCCTCAGCCTCAGCCTGCCTCGGCCTCAGCCTGCGTCAGCCTCAGCCTCAGCCTGCCTCAGCCTCAGCCTGCCTCGGCGTGCCTCAGCCTCAGCATCAGCCTGCCTCGGCCTCAGCCTGCCTCGGCCTCAGCCTGCCTCAGCTCGGGCATTCAAAATATGGCACAGGACTTGTGTTCTGGGAACACGAAGATCACGAAGTGGCCCACAGATGGCTCCGGGCAATCAAAATATGGTACAATAATGGTGTTCTGGGAACACGAAGAACACGAAGTGGCCTACAGCTGCCTCCGGGGATTCAAAATGTGGCCTGGGAATGGTGTTCTGGGAACACGAAGAACACGAAGTGGCCTACAGCTGGCTCCGGGGATTCATAATGTGGCCTGGGAATGGTGTTCTGGGAAGACGAAGAACACGAAGTGGCCTACAGTTGGCTCCGGGCATTCAAAGTGTGGCCTGTGAATGGTGTTCTGTGTTCTGGGAACATTATTCCCAGGAATCTATAGGAATCTATAGGAATCTATATAGAGTCCTGGGGAGTCCCCGGATTCCCCGGATTTCCCGGATTCTCCCAGCACCCGCCCAGACCCGCCTTGGGAGTCAAGATGCTTTCTTTTGACCCCACTAGAAACCTATCAGTGTTCGCTGTTAGGTAAATATGCATGTATATATGTATATGTATACACACACACATATATATATATATATATATATATATATATATATATACCCGTGCACTAGGCCTGGGCGCCCGGGGCTCGGGGGGGCATGGGAGGACGGGTTTCCCAGACCGCTCCCAGAGCACCCCGGAGCGGCCCTGGAGTTCCCAGATTGCCCAGAGAGCTCCAAGACGCTCCCAGGAGCCCCCGGGGGACTTCGACAAGCCCCTCCAAGACAGCCCAGATAGCCCCAACGTGGCCCAAGATGGGCTCCAGACCGTAAATGCACAGCCCAAGAGGCCTCGAAGAGGCCCCAAGAGAGCTTCGAGAGGCGCCCCGAGAGAGCCCGAAGAGGCCCAAATCCTTGATGCCCATGAAATGTTCATCAACGTTTTTTCGGTGTCTCGCGCTTTCGAGCTTCCGACGCTCCACGACCGCCGACGACGCCCCCAAGACCGCCCCAAGACCGCCGGAGAGGCCCCCAACAAAGCCCCAAGACGGCCCCAGGGAGCCCGAAAATTGCCCGGGTGGAGCCTCAGACGGCCCAGGAGAGCCCAGGACAGGCCCAAGCTGGGCCACAGAGCGGGAGCGGGAGGCCCCAAGGCGCTCCAAGATGGGCCCAACACAGCCAATAGACAGCCCAGGAGCCATCCAAGAGGCCCCAAGAAAGCGCCAAGAGGCGTCCCGAGAGAGCCCGAAAAGGCCAACATCCTTGATTTCTGTTAGTTCCCAACCATCCTGTGGTGTTGTGTCCTCGTTCTGAAGAGACGTCGCCCCGCGTTCCTCCTTCCTCCTCCTCCCTCCTCCCCTCCTCTCATCATCATCATCATCATCATCATCATCATCATCATCATCATCATCATCATCATCATCATCATCATCATCATCATCATCATCAGCATCATCAGCATCATCATCATCATCAGCATCAGCATCAGCATCAGCATCAGCATCAGCATCATCATCATCATCATCACATCATCATCATCATCATCATCATCATCATCATCATCATCATCATCATCATCATCATCGTCATCGTCATCGTCATCGTCATCGTCATCGTCATCATCGTCGTCACACGTTTCGTGGCCCCATAGCAGCCCCGCCGAATGTCCCAGTGGCACAATTCGCATGCGTCCCCGCCATTCATGTCGGCACACCCCTCACACGCTTCGTGGCCCCATAGGAGCTCCGCCGAAGGTCCCAGTGGCACAGTTCGCATGCGCCCCCGCCTTTAATTTCGGCACACCCCTCATTCGCTTCGTGGCCCCATAGGAGCTCCGCCGAAGGTCCCAGTGGCACAGTTCGCATGCGTCCCCGCCACTCATTTCGGCACACCCCTCACACGCTTCGTGGCCCCATAGGAGTTCCGTCGAACGTCCCAGTGGCACAGTTCGCATGCGTCCCCGCCACTCATGCCGGCACACCCCTCGCACGTTTCGTGGCCCCCCTTTAGGAACTCCGCCGAAGGTCCCAGTGGCACAGTTCGCATGCGCCCCCGCCTTTCATTTCGGCACACCCCTCACACGCTTCGTGGCCCCATAGGAGTTCCGCCGAAAGTCCCAGTGGCACAGTTCGCATGCGTCCCCGCCATTCATTTCGGCACACCCCTGACACGTTTCGTGGCCCCATAGGAGCTCCGCCGAAGGTCCCAGTGGCACAGTTCGCATGCGCCCCCGCCACTCACGTCGGCACACCCCTCACACGTTCCGTGGCCCCATAGGAGCTCCGCCGAAGGTCCCAGTGGCACAGTTCGCATGCGTCCCCGCCACTCATGCCAGCACACCCCTCACACGTTTCGTGGCCCCCCTTTAGGAACCCCGCCGAAGGTCCCAGTGGCACAGTCCGCATGCGCCCCCGCCATTCATTTCGGCACACCCCTCACACGCTTCGTGGCCCCATAGGAGCTCCGCCGAAGGTCCCAGTGGCACAGTTCGCATGCGTCCCCGCCATTCATGTCGGCACACCCCTCACACGTTTCGTGGCCCTATAGGAGCTCCGCCGAAGGTCCCAGTGGCACAGTTCGCATGCGTCCCCGCCACTCAGGTCGGCACACCCCTCCCACGTTTCGTGGCCCCATAGGGGATCCGCCGAAGGTCCCAGTGGCACAGTTCGTATGCGTCCCCGCCACTCATGGCGGCACACCCCTGACACGTTTCGTGGCCCCATAGGAGCTCCGCCGAAGGTCCCAGTGGCACAGTTCGCACGCGTCCCCGCCACTCATTTCGGCACACCCCTCACACGTTTCGTGGCCCCATAGGAGCTCCGCCGAAGGTCCCAGTTGCATAGTTCGCATGCGTCCCCGCCATGCATGTCGGCACACCCCTCACACGTATCGTGGCCCCATCGGAGCTCCGCCGAAGGTCCCAGTGGCACAGTTCGCATGCGTCCCCGCCGTTCATTTCGGCACACCCCTCACACGTTCCGTGGCCCCATAGGAGCTCCGCCGAAGGTCCCAGTGGCACAGTTTGCATGCGCTCCCGCCATTCATTTCGGCACACCCCTCACACGTTTCGTGGCCCCCCTTTAGGAGCTCCGCCGAAGGTCCCAGGGGCACAGTTCGCATGCGTCCGGCACACCCCTCACACGTTTCGTGGCCCCATATGAGCTCCGCCGAAGGTCCCAGTGGCACAGTTCGCATGCGTGCCCGCCACTCATGTCGGCACACCCCTGACACGCTTCGTGGCCTCATAGGAGCTCCGCCGAAGGTCCCAGTGGCACAGTCCGCATGCGCCCCCGCTACTCATGTCGGCACACCTCTCACACGTTTCGTGGCCCCATAGGGAACTCCACCGAAGGTCCCCGTGGCGCAGTCCGCATGCGTCTCCCTCATCCAGTCCAGCGTTTCGTGGCCCCATATGGAGCCCCACCGAATGTCCCCGTGGCGCAGTCCGCATTGTGTTGTTAGTTTTCGCTTGCGTTGTGTACCACGCCACTCAGTTGCCTCATAGGAATCCCTTTCCGAAGGAGTGAATCACAATTGGGGTACTCACACCTGCATATGGTTGGGTCCTTCGTCAGGCTAATGTTTTCATTGTTTTTCGCTTTCTCGCGTTCTCGAGCTTCGAACGCCCCAAGACGGCCGCAGACGCCCCGAATATCGCCCCAAGACCGCCGAAGAGGCCCCAGGTAGAGCCCCAAAACGGCCCAGGAGAGCCTGAAGATTGCCCAAGAGCAGCCCGAGACTGCCAAAGATAATCCCATGAGAGGCACAAGATGGGCCACAGAGTGGGAGTGGGAGGCCCCAAGGCGCTCCAGGACTGCCCAGATGATTCCCACGTGGCCCCAGAAGGGGCTCAAGACGGCAAAGACACAGCCCAAGAGGCCTCCCCAAAGGCCCAAGAGAGCTCCGAGAGACGTCCCGAGAGAGCCCAAAGAGCCCAAACCATTGATTGGCATTGGTTTGTTTGATTTTTGCTCGCCTAGTCGAGTTCTCGAGCGTCCAATGCTCGAAGACGGCCGAAGACGCCCTCCAGACCGCCCCAAGACAGCCGAAGAGGCC